CGACATCTCGTGATCACACGGGCTGGTGTGCTTCTTCCATGTGGGCTTTGTTGCTTCTGAGCTAGATGGCCGCTTGTTTACCTTCAAGCCTTTAAGACCCTAGACGCTATATCCTTTGATAGCCAGGAACCATCAGCTTTCTTCACCACTTTTGCTTATTCGCCCGCTTTGTCTTCAGCGGTTGTGTCGGGAAGGTGAGCATCATGGAATGCCAATTTAATAGAACAAAGTACTCTTGCATTGAGGGAGTACTTGAGCAGAGGCCCAATGTCCTTCTGCTATCCAGGGTATTTTCAGTCACTTCACGTGCATGTGCAAGTTGGATATTGAATAGAGAAGACCAAAGAAGAACCGATGCATTTGAATTACGGTGCTGGCAAAGAATACTGAAAACACCATGGACTGCCCAAAAAACCCCAAATCCATCTTGGAAGAGGACATTTTGGTATTATAACCAGAATGCTCCTGAGAAGCAAGGATGGTGAGACTTGTTTCAGGTATGTTATCCGGAAACACTAGCCCCCGGAAAAAGACCTCGTGCTTTGTAAAGCAGAGGGGCAGCGAAATAGAGAAGGGTCCTTGATGAGATAGATTGACACCGGGGCTGCAACCATGGGTTCAAACATAAGAACAATTGTGAGGACAGCACAGGACCGGGTAGTGTGTACACAGGGTAGCTGAGTTGGAACAGATTCGAAGGCACCTAACAATAGCAACATACTTATGATCCATAAATTCTACAGAGGCTAGAGCTCCATGTGTATTTACTCGTATATTCATAGCAATCCTATAGGACAGGGTAGAACTATTCCTGTGGATTTCTGAGACTGTAGCATCATCTTTCTCCCACACAGCAGCTAATGATTTCAAACTGCTGACATCTGGTTAGCAGCCCAATGCATAGCCACCGAGTCAGAATCGATTCAATGGCAGTGGGTTTGGTGTATGTATATATAGCCATATACTGGAGTATACATGGACAGAGTTCCGGAGATTCTAGGACATAATGAAACCCTATAAGGGGCTGAGTTACTGGGCCTTGGCTCAAGGCCAGTCTGGGTGGACTAACATCAAAGTCAATGGGCATAACACAGTCCACGGAGAAAATGTGCTTCCTTCTACTTTGGTGAGCAGTGACTGGGGCTTTAAAGGGTTGCAAGGCTCCATCTAAGAAACTTCTATTAGGTTCTGGCCATCTGGAGCAAGGCAAGTGAAGAAACTCAAGATGCAGGGAAACAATTAGTCTGAAGGACTAATGTCCCACCTGAGTTTCGGGACGCTGAGGTGCTGGCTACCACTACCAACCACTTTAAAGGGGACCACATTAGAAGGTTCTGGATCGAGTGGGGAGAAAACAGAGAACAAAATTCAAAATCCTTTTTAAAAAGACCAAGCCTATTGGTCAAATAGCCACTGGTGGAAAACCTGAAACTATTCCTGTGTGCCAACCTTCAAGCCTGGAACCGGACTCGCTTCCTGTCAACCAGTAGACAGGTGGATAAGGTACACAATAGCATCTGGGAGGTAAACACTCTATAGACAACAAACCATTCAAGAACAAAATGGTAGCATTTGCCCAGATACAAAGTTCAAAGGCAGGAAGGGGCAGGAAGAGGGAAGAACGGATGGCAAACACACAGAGGAGATGTGACATGAGTACTGTGACGTTGTGGAACAGTGACTATGGACTGATGGATGGAAAACTGATTTGCTCTGCAATACTTTCACCCAAATCATAACCTAAAGTTAATTTTTTAAAAAAGGTATTACAGCCCAGAAAATGGCAGTTCAACTCTCTCTCAGGGGGTCTCCATGTGTTACAATGGACTCAAAAACAACCAACCACAGAGGTGGTGAAAAAGAGCAATGACTTGTTTCATGTAGATGTATCAACCTGGAAAGAGGCCTGTGATTACATTAAGGTAAGAAAAAGCAACACAACATATTGAGCATACACACTGATACTGGGTGCATCCCCACTTCATAAGCATTAATGTATAATAAAATATATTTCTTAGACTTAAGGAAATAGGCTATGCACAAGTAAAAGAATGAAGAAAGACACTAAAATTATCACAATGCCGTCTAGTTAGTGGGTCTCTAGGTGATTTTATTATTTTCTTTGTCTTCCTGTGTCTTCGTTTCCTATAAGAGTATGTATTACTCAAGTAACAAAACTGATTTTAGTTTATAAGTTTAGTTTTCAAGTCCCCTTTTCATGTTGAGACCTTTCTACTAAGGGTGATGGGACAATTGGGGAATGGTTAATAGTGATAACTGACCAGCAGGAGAAATATAATTAATGTCACTGAATTGTTTCTGTGAAGATGGTGGCAACAGTCAATGTTTTGTTACACGTCGCATACAAGGAGGGTTTCCAAACATTCCTGAGAAAAATCCATTATCTTTTCATCCCACTTTTCCTTAATGTTTAAGCTCCCTCAAAATCACCACAGTTGAAATAAGACCCCTTCATGCATGTGAGCCCTTCCCTGTGCGCTCAACAAAGGGAGCTGGCACCTGTAGCCTCAAGACAGTTAGAACAAAGCCATCCTTGCCCCCACTTAAAAAAAAGTTTTATTGACATATGCTTCACATATCATATAATTTAATCATTTCGTTATATTAAAATGTGTGCAACCATCACCACAATCCATGTCTTCTCATCCTAAATTTTGTTAGCTCCTCATGTCTCCCCATCCTCCCCTGCCACATCCCTAGGCAATTACCAGTCCAGTTTTGTTTCTATAGGTCTATCTGTCCTGGATTTCATAAACAGAAAATCGCACAAAACACAGACAGGAAGCAATCAAACGAAAAAACCAACAACAATGAGTAGACAAAACAGGGTAAGACCTCAAAGAGAAAGCAGAAAATAATAAAAACTGAATCAACTTTTAAAAGTCAAAAGGAATATCAAATGATTACATTCTAACCTAACTGGGTCTGCCATCACTGACTTTACACTCCTCTCTATCTGATAGGAAGGCTATTCTTATCCCTCGACTATGGTCAGAGGGGATTCACTGATGGCTTAATCCATGTGTGGAACCTGCCAATGGATTTTGGGTTTCCACTGTCATCCACAGCCTTCTGCAAGCTGCATGTTCACAATTTAAGCTCTGAAACCATTCCCTCCTTTAGATTTGGAATTTATGACTTACAATCCTTGAAGCACACAGGCTGGTGTGCTTCTTCCATGTGGACTTAGTTGACGACTCATTTAGATGGCTGCTTATTTGAATATAGACCTTTAAGAGCCCAGGTGTTATCTTTCTGATAGCCGGGCAACATCTGGTTTCTTCACCACACTTTGTTATAGCACCACTATCTTCAGTGATCTCTTTGTGAGGGCAAGCACCAACCTAGTCCCTTTTAAAATGTGAAAAAGCACCAACCTCACAGAAACCAGGTCATTCACCTAGAGTCACACATCTTGGTACTCGGTTCAGTCAAGACAAGAGTCTGGGAATGCTGAAGTCTCCTCCCAAGCCAGCAAGCACATTAGCCTTTTTTCAGCCCCTGTACCCACAGGTGTGTGGTTTCAGGCCAACTAACTCTTCGCCCTTACCTCTGCCAGGCGTGAGTGCTTGTGGACGTTCTCGCCTTTCTGCACACTGGGGGCCAGCTGCTGCAGGACACCCCTGCTGCTCGTGAGTGCTCTGGTCAGCCGAGCAAACTTCCCCCAACCTAGATCCCAAGGGAGAGAGGAAAGACAGGGTCAGCCATGTCTCCGAGGAGCACAGATGTTTGTATCACCAGGAACACTGTCGAAGCACATACCCAATTGTCCCCTGGGGTGTCCATGACGCATTCTGCCTTCCTCACCATTGAGATCCAGTGCTCACAAAAGCACCGCAATACACTCAGCTCTATGCAGTAGTCTGTTTTCCTCCCGCTCTTCCCTGTACCTAACCAGAGCCCAACGAATTGCATGCAGAAGGTTTCAGTAGCACTTTACAAACAGGGTCCACCACCTGTCTGGCAGCTCCTCCTACTGTGATGGCTTGTGTGTTGCTGGGATGCTGGAAGCTATGCCACTGGTATTTCAATGCCAGCAGGGTCACCCACATTGGACAGGTTTCAGCACAGACTCAGAAAAAGAGTCTGGCAGATGATTTCTGGTGAACGTCTTCTGAAAGTTAGCCAGGACGTGCTTTATGGCTCACAATAGAACAACTGTTTGACTCTCCTGCTTTTGCAGTAGACACTTCATCAAAAGGGCTCACTCGCTGAAGGTAAACCATCAAGTGCGGTAGAGGGCCAGGGAGGGGGAGGGAGACCCTCAGTGAGATGGATTGGCACAGCAGTCATGATGGATTCAAGCATGCCAGCAATCAAGAATAGAGTGTTCTGCTGTACACAGGCGCACCATTAGTCAAAGTCAACTTGATAGTGATGATCTATCTTTCTAACAAATAAGGAAGGTGAGACACAGAGAGGCTACATAACTAGAAAGAGTCTAGAACTGTGACCCTTCATTCTGGCCCAAAGCTTTATTTGCTGACTTGCTCACTCACTTCGGGGTGTTCTCAGTCCCCACACTCTCTGATCTTGCAAAGGCCCAGCTAGTTCTGGGCTTCCTATGGACAAGTTTCCCAAATAGCCGAACACTGGATTGTGTTCTCCAAGGCCAAAGAAATGAGAACTGAAATCAAACTCTAGGTAGGTGGGAAGAAAGTGTGGGCAGATTTCAGTCTGCTCTGGGCTCAGGATGGATGGTTTATGACAGGTCCTCTTTATTTTTCATTTATTTATTTTTCACTGGCAGGTCCTCTGTAAATAAGAAGCTCAAACATCCTGGTACTGGACTTGGAGTAAAGAAATCCTGTTATAAACCCCACCTCTGCCTTGCTTCACACTACCAACAAGTTGGCTCAATGACCACATCTATAAAGTGGAAATTGAAATACTCTCCCTTCCTAAGGTGTGCCTGACCCAAGCCATGATCTATTCAATCAGCTCATGTGCGTGTGAAAGTTGGACAATGAATAAAGAAGACCACAGTGATTCAGATGCACTTGAGGATGGTTTGGTGAAGAACACTGAAAAAAGCATCATGCTTGGTAAAGCAGAAGACCAGCCAAAGAGAAGAAGAATCCAATGAGATGGGTTGACACAGCAGCTACAAAGGGCTCCAATACAACCATTGTGAGGATGGCGCAGGACTGGACAGGCCTTTACTCTGTTGTACATCAAGTTGTTACGGGTCCAACCCGACCCAATGGCACCCAACAACACCTGCCTATAGGCCGTGGACTACAACATGGTTGTCCTGAGGCCTACTTGGGCCCACGGGATTAGTTCCTCCAGGAAGAGTGAAGCCCTGGCCACGTCCCAGTCTATTCAACACTGCCGTGCACTGGATGACTGGCTGGGGCTCTTCTACCCACAGTCTTCGTAGCTCCCAGCCGATCACTGGGTGGGAGCATGCAAATAAAAGTGCACCTCACGTGGAGCCTCATCATTACTGGTGCTGTCCAGAGGGCAGTAGCATTAAACAGATGATTGGTCTTTGGTACAAATTTCAAGAATCTTGATCTGGGGAAAGTTTTATGACTACAGCCAGAATAGCACATTGGTTCTTTTTCATCTTGTTCCCAAAATTCTGGGCTTTAATAAAAGCTGATGGTACTTCCATTGCTCCTGATGTCGTAAAACAGAGAAATGAGTGTGCTGGAGGTGACCAAGAAAAAGCCTCATGGTGGTTAGCCTGGGGGGGTCCCATTAATCTCACGGAGAGCAGACCGCACAGACGCTGTGGGGGAGCTCTGCACCTCCCCAGACAGCACCATTATGACTGGGTTCACTGGAGCACATTTGTGGGAATCATGAACTAGAGCTTTCAAAATCTCTTTCAGAATCAGACTCTCTCAGCTCTGATGAAAGCTGGGGTTGAATCCAGTAAACGTGTCGAGAAAAGAAAGTATGTTAAGTAGGTTTTTCAATCAGTTGTGCATGAATGTGCATGCGTGCGTGCTTGTGTGCGTGCGTGCATGCACACACACACACACTCACTGTGATAGTTAGGTTTATTGTGCCAACCTGGCCAATAAGAACATGTGGGATTAATCAGGTCGCAGTTTGATTGTAGGGCAAAGAGATAAATGGCTCTGCAAGGTCTGCCCCCTTATCTCTTGGTCTCCAATCAGAGTGTGTTGGAGCACGCATTCTGCTGTTTAACTAGTTCTCTGCCTCACCTGTGAGCTACACTACTTATGAGCAGGCCAACCTGTGGATTGTGTCGCTAGGGCTCCTTCGAGACCTGCTTTCGCCATGCTGCAGGTGTGTACATCATTTGAGCTTGAGGCTGTGATGGTTTCTGTCACCTCACGTTGCTTGCTTTCCATATCCCATCCAGGCCTGCTTTGCTAAGCTCCCAAGCTACTGACTTGGTGACCCACCCTGCTGTTTGCTGCCTGTGGGCACACTCTGCTTGCCTTGCCCCAGGGAGGGCTCCACTGTCTGTTTCCTTGACCTTGGACGCAGCAGCCCATATGGGTTGAAAGACCTCCAGTATATTAACTGTTCCGTGAAAGTGAGTTGAACTGAGCCCTCTATACTGCTGTGTGGACTAATTAACTGTTATAGTCCTTCTTGCGGTATAAACAGATATATATATAATCATAAGTGTTCTGGTTTCGTTTTTTCTAGAGAACCCTGCCTAACACAGACACACACCCCACCCAGTATCACCCGCATCCCAGCATCATACGCTGGGAGGAAGAGGGTCGGGCAAATGGCCCAGGTCCTGCCTAGCTAGGAGCACAGGGTTTGTTCTCTATCTTTTAAATAAATCTGTGAGATTTATTTAAGAGATTATTTTTAATGTTTTAAATAAATGTTTGAGATGTAATTACTGCCATGGAGAGGAGGCCTAGTGGTATAGTGGTTATGTGTTGGGCTGCTAACCGCAGGTCAGTAGTTCAAAACCACCAGCAGCTCCTCCTGAGAAAGACGAAACTTTCTACTCCTGTAAAGAGTTATCATCTCAGAAACCCACAGGGACAGTTCTACCCAGCCCTATCCTCGATGGTAGTGAATTTGGTTTTGGAATTTTCCAGGGGTATATAAGGTCTGGCAGGTCTGGCATGTGCTCTCAGAACCCCTTAAAGTGGGGTGCCCCAGAGCAGTTTTTATTAACCCTGTACCGCCCAATGCCCTTACTCAAGGAACATTCAAGGTCATAGGGCTGGAGGGGCGGGGGGCAGGCAGGAGAGGAGAGCACTTGCACCCTGGTCCACGTGCCTCTGGATGAGACAAAGAATGACTTCCTTTCTTCATGCCACAATCATGCAAAGTAGCTGAGTGGGGTAGCTGGACAAGAGGGAGAAGGGGTTTCTGCTGACCCTTGATGGTGTCGGAATCTCGCTATCTATTCACCAGGAAACGGGGCGAGAGCACAACTTAGTGCTCTTTACCCTCCCGACACCCCTCTTTTGATTTTCTTTTCCCCCTCTATTCTCAGTAAGGACAACTGCTTCTTTCCTTGTGTGCGCCACAGATCTGCTGGGTTTCTAACTGGTAAGCCCCTACTAGGCTGCTGTAGCCTACACCCCACTATATTCTCTCTAGGCCAGAAGAGATGGTCTTGAGATAAGTCTGAATCCCAGTTCCTCCGACGGAAAGTCCAGCAACACCAGATAAAAGACCCATCTACAGGCTCGCTCCCTGGGCAAGCACGCCAAGTCACGTGGAGTAGAAGTCACAGCAGAGTCTTGGAAGAGCTATTCTTCCTGAGGAGGAAAGGGAGACTAGTCTTGTTGTGAGATGTGGACTCACAAGTTCTCTTGGGAAAGTTGGGGTGATAGGCCAACACCCAGCTGAGAATACTGAACACGGGGGATTAGGATGAGAAGCTGGGGGACCACAGCCTGAGTGATTCTTGACTAAGTGTCCTACACTTTTTCTCCCAAGACCTTCTCTCTGACAACGTACAAATAACCAAGTCACTAAAATGGCTTTTTCAACCCTAGTTACTAACATTTCACCTTCCCAGCCTCCTGAGGCATAGCGTTAGAAGGCTAGTGCTGGGGAGAGGAAAGGAGAGGTGTGGCTTGTACCCACTACCCTGTCTCTTTCCCAGAGAGCTCCATAAATATTCTCAGTGATGGCACATGGGCACACAAGGGCTGTCCATCCAAACAGCTTGCCAGGACCCTCACTCCTGGGAGTCGCACTCATTGGCCCTTAATAACCTCCTGTAGAGTTGCAGATCCCTTTGTTGTCTGTATCTGGCTGAATTTAGTTCAGAACTTAGAAATAAATATACAAATCTTTAACAATCAATCTTCTCCTTTAATACAAGATCATTTGGTAAGGGAAGTGGGGGGGTGAGGGGCGGGGAGGGAAGAAAGAAAATGGGAGAGGCGACTCATCCTTGGTGAACAATTTAGAAAGACACTGAGCTATACAGTCTAATTTTTCTCTCCCAGTTATCCAAGCCCCCCCGGCTCAGAAGAGGATGGGACAGAGAAGATGGTCCTGCTGCCCACTTCCAAAGATCTACAATACCAGACCAGCAAGAGATAAAGGAAAATGGATACCCCTGGGGCATATGGTGTCTTATTTGGGCCAAGAAACCGACCTCCTCACTCATTCAGCCTTTAAATAAGCACATGCACACCAGAGCTGTCGTTGCGAAATGCCATTGAGTCAGTGCTGACTCCTGGTGACGTCACAGCAGCAGAAGGAAACACGGCCAGTCCTCTACCATCCCCACAACCATTGTTACCTGAGTATCTGAGCTCATAGTTACTGAAGAGCAAATTGCACTCAACTTTCATTTCCCACTTCATACCATGTGTGGGCACTATTTGTTAGCTAGAGAGGGAATGAGTCAAAAAGTGGACAGAAGCAAGCGGGGTAAGAAGTCAGTGTTCTGGATCATTCCCACCCATGGTGGTGAGAACGGATGCATTAAACGAAAGAGGGGGTTCGAGGAGCAATGGGAGGGAGGGTAGCAATGTGAGCGGTTTGTGGGGAAATGTCAGGCACGAACTGGCTTCTCTCATCACTATTCAGATGCATCCCACCCTGAAGTTAGGCAGTGCAAGATCAGAGAAAAAGTCATTTTTAAAACAATCTAATCAGAATTGATTTAAAAGACTAACATGATGGGTGAAAATGTCCCATGCTGTCATGCCAAAGAGCACCTAAGGGAAGATTTCCTGGGGTCTAGGACTATCCAAGAACTCCTGATGAAGCAGGAGTTAAATGTTCACCTAGTACATGAAAGTTTGGCAGTTCAAACCCAGCAGCCACTCCACAAAAGGAAGATGCGGCCGGTGGCTTCCATAAAGACCGGAGCTTCAGAATCGCTATGGGACCGTTCTCCTCTGCCCTGTAGGCTCACCAGGAGTCAGAATCAGCTCCACAGCACCGAGTTGTGGTGGTTTGATCAGATTAACAACCCCTCCATGCCATTTCAAAGGCGAATTTGAAATGCCTGGGTCAGCCAGCCTCGGCAGACCTAATGCTAGGTCTGCTGGACATGAAGTGCTGAGATCGCATCCGTGAGAAATGTCCAGTCAGGAGAACAAGCCAGCCCCTGGCAGCATATTTTCTATCTAGATTTGGTCCTGTGGTCAGAACTGCAGTTTGCACACTTGCAACCAGCAAAGCCTGAGCAACCATCGTGCTCTTACACAAGAAACGGAAAATGTTGACCTTGTCCTAAGCAGCATCCAGTCAACAAATGCCAGTGTATAGTGGCAGGGCATGTGGGAGGTTCTAAAGACATCCACCATGGCCTTTGAAAAGGACAGGCTAATTAAGGCATGACTTTGAGGAGACAGGACGTTTGATCCACTAGCCACCTTCCTGTAGTGGGGGCTAGCATTTTGCACATGGTACACTAAGCTCTCTTTAGCCCACCTTCACCCAAGCTCTTACCACAGAGGAAATGTATTGTTACTGCAGGTTAAATACAGGAGGGCATTTCATTCCTGGAAAATAAGCCTAAGTGAGGATCTCACTACACCTTGGTGATGTATCTCTTCTTTTGAGTTCCATAGGAATCCTATGGTGCTGCATGCTAGACATTGAGTGGTGAACCACAAAGTCAGTGGTTCAAATTCACCAGCTTCTTGATAAGAGAATGATGAGACTGTCTGTCCCCATAAAGATTCACACTCCTGGAAACCCTATATCAGGTCACTATGAGTCGGAATTAATTTGATGGCAGTGGGTTTTCAGGCTTCGTGGGAATTAAATGCAGACCCCTGGATAGTGAAGAAGGAGCACTTTTCTAGTGGGTATGTTTTTCCAACTGAACAATAACTGCATGGTGCCTAACTATCTCATAATAGTGGGGGGGAAGAGCATGACAATTCATCCAAATTGTGTATTTCAAGTTTTTAAGAGAAAACATGAAAAACTGTCAAATATATTATGGTCTTTAATCTAGTGCTTACAAGTCTGTTAGGTTAAAAAAAAGCAGGCATATTACTAATAAGAGACTTTAATACACCATTTCCAAAGGACAGAAAAGCTAGAAAGAAAATTTTTAAAGATACTGAAGAACTAAACCCCATAATCAACCAATTTGGTCTCATAGATATGTACAGAACACTCCACCCAACAACAGCACAGTAAACATTTTTTCCAGTGCACATTGATCATTCTCTGGAATAGACTATATGTTAAGCTATAGAGCAAACCTCAAGAAATTTTAAAACATTGAAGTACTACAAAGTATTCTCTCAGATCTCAATAATATAAAATTAGAAATCAATAACAGGAAGAAGAAAAAAATCAAGTACATGGAAATTTACCAACACCCTGCTTAAAAACTACTGGGTAATAGAAGAAATACAATTTTTAAATTCTTAGAGTGAAAACACAACATACCAAAACCTTTGGGGAAGCAGCGGTACTCAGAAGGCAATGAAGAGCACTAAGTACACACATCACAAAACAAGAAAGAACCAAGATCAACACCTATTCCCCAAATGCCAATGCTCAGAGAAGGAATAACAACAACAACAAGCCAAAAGTTACCAGAAGAAAGGAAATCATAAAGATTACAAGAACTATATAAGGAGGTCTCAAAAAGTTTGTAGAGAAATTCCATTATCCTTTGAGACTATTTTTCCTTGAACTTTTGAACCCCCTTATAAATGAAATCCAAAAAATATATAGCAAGAACCAACAGGGCTACCACAACCAACTGCTCTGATCAGGATCACGGTAAAGGTTCTGGACAGAGAAGGATAAAGATTTGAAAAGACCAGACTTATTGGTCTGGTAGAATCTAATGGAATCTCTAAGCCCTTTGACACCCCTGACGCCTCAAACTGAACCCACCCCCAGTGGTCAACTTCTAACCAACAACTGAACAGCCCAGCGGAGTGAAGGGTAACACCAGGTAAGAAGGTACTCCTCAGAACAGTCAACCATAAGAGTCCAAAATGCAAATCGAGACTTGGAAGGTGTAAAGAATCCGGAAAGAAGGACCGATAGCAACAGGGCACCCAGGGCAAACTGGGAGGCGTGTCTTCACGTTCAAGGGCAATTGAAACCAGTCAAGAAGCAGAGTATGAACTGTTGAATGGAAGACTATTTTGATCTTTGTAAACTTGTACCCAAACCACACTAAAAGTCCAAAAAAAAAGCAAAAAAATGACATCTAATCATTAGTAAGTTCAACATCATGTAATATTACTTTACTACTACTTTAAGCAATCACCAAATCAGAAAAAAGAAATCAAATACAAATCTTTAGGAGAAAGGTCAAGTTGAGGAGACTGAGATACTGTTTAAGAGCCTGTCTACTATAATCTTGAAACCAGAAGGAAGAGTAAATTTAATGCACTGAGCTAAAAAACAACCCAAACTCTGCCATCAAGTCGATTCCGACTCAGAGCAACTCTATAGGGCAGGGCAGAAATGTGGGGTTCCAAGACTGTAACTCTTTAGGGAAGTGGAAAACCGTGTCTTTCTCCCAAGGGGTGCTTGGTGGTTCTGAACTGCCAACCTAATGGTTAGCAGCCCAACACATAACCACCACCACACTATGGCTCTTTATGGAGCTAGAAAATGCTTTTAAAAATCAGGACACATGGGGTTCAGTGCTGGGCGGCTGACTGCAAGGCCACCATCTGCTCTGTAGAGAGAAAGACAAGGCTTGCTGTGCTCCATCAAGATATACATTCTCAGAACCCACAGGGGCAGTTCTACTCTATCCTAAGCAGTTGTCATAGTCAAAATCAACTCAATGGCAGTGAGTTTTTTAAGTATACACAGCACTGTGCTCTGAACCCCATTAGTTAGTGTACCAATGTGCTCTCTTTAAAATCTTTAAGAGAAAAGATGTTTCTTGGATGGCTGAGGTGCGGTTGACCTAAGCCAGGGTATTTTTAATCATTTTGTAGGCACGTGAGAGCTGGACAGTGAAAGAGGAACATCAAAGAACCGATGTATCCCAGTGTGGTGTTCTTGTAGACCAGCCACTACTGAAGAACGCACAATTCTCTCTTGGAAGAAATACAGTCAGGATGCTGCTTAGAAGTGAGGATGGCGAGACTTCATCGCTGACTGACTTTGAACATGTTGTCAGGAGAGACTGGTCCCTGGAGAAGGACATCATGCTTGGTAAAATCAAGGGTCATTCATGAGGTGGACTGCTACCATGGCTGCAACATGGGCTCAACCATACCAATGATTGTGTGGATGGTCCAGGAGTGGGAATTTTGTTTTGCTATGTTGAGTCAGACTCCACAGCAAGCAGCAACAGCATCCACATGTGCTAAGTGCTTTAATACCTTCAGCCCCTGACAGAACAGTGAGGCTAACCTTTTTATTCTCTCCTGGAATGCCCATTCAGCAATCAAACTCTTGTCACATTATTAATAATTTCAAATGAAAGAGCTGGCCACAAACTTCATCAGCCATGGAGGGAGAGGTGTACTAAGATTTATTTGAGCTCTCATGCAAGGCTAGAACTCAATGAAACGGAAGGAAGTTTGTATACATGTGAGTTGAATGTGAGAAAGGGGGTAAGGGACTACCCACTAGAGCGACTGCTGTCTCTCACTGGAAGACATGAAACGCGTCTGATGATACCGGAGTTGGCCAATTACCTTCCCCTCGCTAATTTTTCTTTCCTTAGAAAGGTTTCATCTAAAAAGATATAAAATATATTCAAATACTTTCCTAAACAAAGCTAGGTTTTTACCTTCATCCCTTTACCCTCCCCCAATACATTCCAGAATGACATAACATTCTACCCAACATAAATTAGAGACTAAATCTCGATCTTTGTGCAGTGATTGCCTTGGCAACCTCAAATTCTCTGTCACAAGAGCCATGTTAAGGCAAGAAAAAAGCAATAATGTATTTGTACAAATCATAATTACAAACCTTTACATGAATCATCCTCGATTGGCTGCTTGAAAGCTGTTATGTCACTGAAAGTGCAAAGAAATAAAACCACTTTATCCTGTTCATTTCGAATTGGAGCGATTTTCACAAAGAACCACACAGGTGTCCCTGAAAGGAATAGCAAAAGGTGGTCAGTAATTTGCATTCGGCTTTGAGAGGCTAAGGAGGCAAAGACTCAGGAATGAATAGGTACCCAGGTGAATTCTTTTTAAAAATGGACTCGTTCCTTCAGGGGTCAGGGTATCACACTATTCATTTCTTTTCTTTCTGGAATAGAAACTTTTGCTGGAACTAGTTGGTGGGAGGTTTCTTCTGTTCAAAGGATTTCATAAAGGTGTCTTAACCCTTGTGAAACTATGAGAAAATGGCTGTAAATCCCTTTAAGTCTTACAGAAAAGGCTTTAATGACCTAAAGACTTACCTTGGGCTACATAGGGTAACTAAATAGTGAGGGCCACAATGGAAGCTGCCAATCGTGGCCAACAGACCCGGCAAACTCTAATTTCAAACTCCATCCGATGCTAAAGAATCCCAGTGCCAAAATCCAGTTTGGGAGTCCATCACTTTGATCCACATTCTCAATCCAGCAAGGATCAGAACCTACAGTTCTAAAGCCCTCTCCCCATAATAGAAACCCAAAGGGTTCAATGCCTCCTACTGATTCTCCCAGCTGAGGCTCTGCTGAGAAGGAAGGCTCTAAGAAGCTTCGGGCTGTGACTGCATCCACGTCTAGTCTCAGGAAGCCCAATGAATGTGGGTGAACTCCCAGCCCTTGCTTCTGTGGAGAGTGGAGGTTAAACAAGTTCTTTCTGAAACACCGCCTTGAATGGACAGAATTTATCCGACTAACTCCACAGAGGAAGGTCACCATTCAGGTACCTATGGCCAAATGCCTACACTAAGTCAATCTCTGGCCTCCGTAAGGAAGGAAAATAAGCCAGTGTTTTCTATCCATAGAAGCCATTGCCTCTCTTCTGTGTTCAATATGAACTGAGACACCAAGCGATGGTGTGTTCTTCCCTCCTGAGTTCCTGCCTCACATGCATCTGGCACACATAAGAGTGAAAAAAAACAAAAACCATTTGTCACGTTTTTCATAATTGAAACAACACCTTATACTATTGAATAATCATTTTAAAATTAAAATACATTATATATTTCCCCACGTTTCAGGTACTAGAGAAGCTCCCCCTGTATTCGGCATTTTATATAATTTATTTTATGAGCTACCAACCAGAAAAACTCACTAAACTTCTCTAGAAAGAAATAAATCCCCTCAATGAACGATGGAATGGTATGGTGTATTAACTCCAAATTAATTGGAAGAAAAGAAAAAAGAATCCTTAAGGGGGCATCTGGTCTTTCTGCTTGCAATCACAATAAACTCTTGCTACACAATCCGAATAACAGATACCTCTGATTACCATGAAGACTGGCTGATACAACTTGAACACAGTTAAAGGCTGGGCTAGGCTACTTAGTCAAATACTTCACTGTCCTAAGATGTGTGAGCAGGTAGTAAGTAGACCACTCGAAAATCTTTTCTCCTTACAGCTTGATTATCTACATATTCACGTGAGGATAATTTTACTCCTTAGTCCAATTTCTTTCCACTCCATGATCAGCTGCCCGTTTCTGTGTGCTCAGAGAAGATGAACTGATTCTTATGTCACCCTAAGAAAGGGGCATTTTGCAAGAAAAATCCACTAGCTATGCATCACACCTAGCATTTTGAAATCAAGAAGAATGTGACCTGAGAATTAGCCACTTGTGTTCCTAAGTCATCTCGTCAGAACTGGCAGGATTTTAAACAATTTCTGCTAAGGCAGCAGGAAGCATCACATTGATCAGTCTACATACGTACAGCATTTGGTTGCAACAAAGAGCAAACACATTTTTTAATGAAAAAATATTCTCTCTAAAGATAACATTAAGCTTGTAAGTTTAATGGTAATAATAATCATTTAAAAACACTGTTAATCTATCAAAATAGTAATAAATCAGCTAAGAGGCCCAGCTCAGAAAGTCTTGCACCAGGAGGCTCCTCCTGCTAGAACCCCCAAAGCCATCTCCTTCACCTCCACAGCACAAGATCAGCAGAGCCCAATGCCCGCACACGTGTTCCAGTTGGGACTGCCCCATCTAATCTTTACATGTCATTGTGGCCACTGGGATTGATGACACCACCCACATCCCCCATATTGTGAGGGCCATTGCCTTAGTCAGATGTTGTTTTTCATTTTTCCTCAGTTCAAGCTTACCATGAACTTTTCCTATATCAACAGATCAATGTTTAAAGCATCTCTCTTTAAAACTCTTCAAATCACTGCCTTCAAAGAAATGCTCCCTGACTGAGCATGCCCTACTCTAGTCATTCCATTTCAGTATTAACATGTGCATCTCTTACCAAAAATTTAGAGCACCCATACATGTTGCCTTATACTCTATCGTAAGTTGATCAGGGGGTATATCTTGGGGTAAAAAGCATTTTTTTGTCTTACCAGCCATCCCCCTGTGGAGGGACATCTTTCAAAGTAGTACCCAGACCACTAGAGAGGTCTGAGGGGCGGGCCCCAGTCCCAATTACATGAACAGACCCCTTCCCCAAGAAGAATTCACTTCAGAGGACAGCACTAAAGCTACAGCTCAGGGAGAGAGACATGTCTGATCAGAGCACACAGGAGCAAATGAAGAGGGAAGGAGAGAAAGTGGAACACACCTGGCCCACCAAACCCCAAGGATAATATTCCTGCTCAGAGCAGCCAATGCAAAGAGGACCACAGGGCCGGCCGCACCACGAGACACGACGTCTCTCACCGACCCATAGTGCTATGGGGGACAACACTGGAGACACAGTGAGGGAATTATGTCCAATCTGACCCCACCACACCAAGGTGAAACACTAAGGGCGTGCAACAGAACAGCAATGGGAGTAAAGCAATGAAGTCCCCAGGGAATACCCGGGTGAGGGCATAGCACCCCATCAGACTCTCCCGGAAAACACTCCTAACGGTCAACAAACAGACCTTGAACGATTTATAGGCTTTTCTTTTATTCGTCATTGGTTTTTGTTGTTGTTGTTTTGTTGCTTTGTTTTGCTCTGTCTTGGTTTTGTGCATATTATTGTCTTTGCATGTCTATTTAAATACAATAGGTGAGATAAACAATCCGGAGGAGTAAACAACGGACCAAAGATCAGGCAATATGGGAGAGGGGGAGGCGGGGGAAAGAAAGTGAGGGTTAACAAACCCAGGGACAAGGGAACAAGTGATCTAAAATTGATGGCAAGGAGGGTGCAGGAAACCTGGTAGGGCTCGATTAAGGGCAATGCAACTGAGAGGAATTACTGAAAAGCAAATGAAGGTTGTACATGATAGTGGGACAAGAGGAAAGTAAAATGAAATAGAGGAAAGAACTAGGAAGCAAAGGGCATTTAATGAGGCCTAAATACAGGCATGTACATATGTAAATATATTTATATATGATGATGGGGAAATAGATCTCTGTGCATATATTTATAAGTTTAGTATTAAGGAAGCAGATGGACAAGTACTCCCTCAGAACAAAAACACTTTGCTCCATTAGCCTGATATTCTGTGATGCTCACCTTCCTGACACAATCGCTGAAGACAAAGTGAGTACATAAGCAAATGTGGTGAAGAAAGCTGATGGTGCCCAGCTATCAAAAGATATAGCATCTGAGGTCTTAAAGGCTTGAAGATAAACAAGCAAGCCATCTAACTGAGAAGCAAAAAAGCCCACATGGAAGAAGCACACCAGCCTGTTTGATCACGAGGTGTTGATGGGATCAGGAATCAGGCATCAAAGAACAAAAAAATCACATCATTGTGAATGAGGGGGAGTGCAGAGTGGAGACACAAAGCCCATCTGTAGGCACTGGACACTCCCTTACAGAAGGGTCGCAGGGAGGAGATGAGCCAGTAGGGTGAAGTATAGGACCAATGAAACATATTACTGTCCTCTAGTTCTTTAATGCACCCCCAACCTCCACCCCTCACCCCATGACCCCAGTTCTACCTTACAAATCCAGCTAGACCACAGCATGTGCACGGGTACAGATAAGAGCTGAAAACACAGGGAATCCAGGACAGATAAACCCCTCAGGACCAATATTGAGAGTAGCCAAACCAAGAGAGGAAGGGGAAGGTGTGGGGGAAAGGGGAAACCTATCACAATGATCTACATATACCCCCTCCCAGGAGGACGGACAACAGAAAAGTGGGTAAAGGGAGACATCAATCAGTGTAAGACATGAAAAATTAATAATAATTCATAAATTATCAAGGGTTCATGAGGGAGGGAGGATGAGAGAGGGAGGGGGAAATGAGAAGCCGAAAGCAAGGGCTCAAGTAGAATGAAAATGTTTTGAAAATGATGATGGCAACAAGTGTACAAATGCGTTTGACACATGGATGGATGGATTGTGATAAGAGTTGTATGAGCCCCCAATAAAATGATTTTTTTAAAATTCGTGCCCGGGCTTTTCCCCCTGAAGGTTTTGGGAAACAGGAAATTATATGCATAGCTTGGCCCTTTCATCTCCTGCTTTGCTAGAGATTTGTCTGCATCCCTCTCTACTTCCCTATGATATAAATGCTGGGGGGGGGGGAGGCATAGGTGGTCAAAGGGGAGGCTAAGGGGAGGAGACATCTCCAGTTCTCTAGTGCAAGCTGTGGCAGACGAGGAAATCGTTCTGGCTCTAGGGGGTCATTTTTGGAAAATCATTTGCTGACAGTCATAGACTACATCCTCTGAGGTCAGATTTCTTAGTGGCAAAGGTAATTCTTTAAGTTCTATTAACCAGATTCCTGTATCGGTCTCAGTGGGTTCTAAACAGAGTACTAAGCATTGTCCCTTTCCAAGTTTAATAATTTGAGTACTTTTGCTTAAGAGGTCCTAGTCCATCCCCAAAACACGCCTAAGATCTCTGGTCTCCGTCTCATGAACCTGAACCCTCTACTGGGCTCCTCCAATGCTGTGGTATGCAGGGAGTCACATGTGAGACCTTGTACTGCTCCACAGCCGGCACTGTGCTGGATTTGTGCAGCATGACCGTCTTAGTTGGGAGGTCTAGGAATACTTACTGA